CTTCTAAACCCATGACCTTAAGTTTCTAAAAGAACAAGGGCAGTAGGTGCAAGGGAACACAGCCATTCGCAAGTTGCTATTCAAACCACAAGCCATCCTGAATTGGAAATAGATCATAGTTTCTTCATTGTCGCTGGGTCAAATTTCTACAACTCCTTTCCAAATAGCACAGTAGATGTACCTAAACCTAATGGTCTGCAGCGGTTCACAGAAGGAGCTCACCACCACTTTCTCCAGGACAATGGGGAGGGGAACAATTGCTGGCCCAGCCAGCAGAATTCACATCCTCTAAATGTTTACAAAACATATTTTTAATAGATTTTAATAAATACTGATGGCATCTGGTTCACATTCCTGCATATGATTACTGTTTGCTGCTGCCACTTTCCTACAGGAGGTAAAGTTGTTTGGTCGGAAAGAGACATCAGTAGACTTTCCATGCAATGACAGACACCCAGCTGGCAGATAATTCACCAGTTCTTGTTTATCTCAAGAAATTCTTGGATCAGGATTTTGCAATATGATCTGTTCCCAGAAGAAATGGTTTACTTTCAGATAAGTGACAGTTTTTAAATCCATTCAAAACACTGGAACAACTGACTAATTGGGAGGGGTATAAAGAAAATTAGAGGTGGGACCCAAACATTTGTTCTAAACTAGATACTGATCAGCAAAAACCTTTTCATTAAAAAGCTTGTTGTTCAGCTGAGGAACAAAGCTACCACAAGCAGCTTTGTACAGCTGCTTCAGTCCAGCAGTATTGCAATCCAAGACTGTTTCCAAGGCCTTTCACATTAATGACTCATTGCCACATGCCTGATATTTTTGACTGAAACCACGGTTGTTCCCCAAGTAAAATAAATATAGGGTAACTGAGTGCAAATATCCACTAAACTGCCTGCACACTTTTCTGTGTCTGTTCATGCATGTGATATGCAACAAGCTGCTATCACAGGGAGGAATCCTGCTGTTAGCTTTATAGCCAAGAGGGAAACTGCTGATGAAATCCTTCACAACAAGAGCAGTAAGTGTTGTAAAAACTGAAAGGACTGCAGATGGTGTAAATCAGAAGCAAAAACAGAAATTGCTGGAAAAGCTCAGCAAGTCTGGCAGCATCTGTGGAGAGAAATCAGACTTAACGTTTCAGGTTGAGTGACCCTTCAACAGAACTCAAGTTCCCAGACTGCTGAGCTTTTCCAGCAATTTCTGTTTTTGTTTCTGATTTTTGTGTCAGTGACTGTTGTACTTTGAAAGAAATCTTAAGATGATTGTTATATTTTTTCAAAATGTAATATTGGTTCGCTTATACTGTACTTTTATCCTACAGTTTCACAACAAGTAAGTGCTTGGTGGTCTGTCACTGCTTTATTTTCTGAAAACATTCACAGTAAAAATTGTAGTCCTTTTTTGCATTTGATACTTTATGCCAATCCATTATTAACTATGTGTTGTTTGTTGTATTGTATCTCATACCTATGATGCAGTATACCTTTAGGAGATGATGTTCTCATCATTTCACATCATGTGGCCTGAGGGTATAACATCTCCATCTCTCTTTTAACTGGAACCACTTGAAGCATGTCACGCTGAGAAAAATGCGCTACTGTTTGTAACCAAATAGCTTAGTATTAGCCCAGACACTGAAGTTCCTGTAAATGTAGTATATGTAGAAATCAGGAGGTGTAATTTATTTTATTCTTTCACAGAGTGCAGTGTCACTGGCCAGGCAGGAATTTATCACTCATATCTAATTGCCCAGAGGGCAGTTTGGAATCAACCACATTGTTTTGGGTCTAGACTCACATGTAGGCCAGACCAGATAAGGATGGTCATTTTCTTCCCTAAAGGACCAATGGGTTTTCTAGACAATTGACAATGGTTTCCCTGTCTCTTATACTCTTCATTCCAGATTTTTATTGAATTCAAATTGCATTAACTGCCATGATTTGAACCCAAATCCCCAAAATATTACCAGAGTCTCTGGATTAATTGCCTAGAGAAAATACCACTAGGCCATCACCTCACCACTGCATAGTAAGCATCTGTTAAATAATTCAGTACATTACCTGCATCTAATTCTTTGTTAATGGAATTAGCATAAATATTGCCTCCTCAGGTACGCATACCGTGCTGAAGGCAAAAGCCCACATCATAGTCGCAGTCCATGGTAGCAACACAGTGGTAAGCAGCAATGGCCATTTATAAGAGTGCATGTTCTGAACAGTAAACACTTGGAAACCTCACTGAAGATTAGCTAGATGACAGGCCTTGACTTCAAAACAATTGGAAATCTAATAGCATCACTTTCTGTAAATAGAAGCTTACAGATTTACCTTCTTGCTGCTTACAGTTTGAGATCTGTAATACTGGAAGTTTTGTCTCTCTTACTGACAGCTTAATATTTAAAAGTGAAAAAAGAGAGACAAGAGGTTTATTTTTTTAAAAGACGATCAAAGGCTACTTGAATTAGTAATCACCTGTACACTGATTAAAGGAGATTTCAGGCATGAAGGAGGGCCTGATCATTGACACCTTGCTTGAAGATGAATGGCTGAATGAAGCCATAGGGGCAGGCCAATAACAATTACATTTTTTAGTTGCAGCCAACACTACTGCTGCAGTCAGTAAAGTGGACCAAACCACCAAGACCTGCAATTTATGTGGTTTGACACATCAATCCAAAAGCTGACTTTTGTTTCTTTACATGTGCAAAGTATGTTGTACCAAACGACTTTGGGTGTACGTGTGCTGGAAATATGGTTTCAAAATCCAAACCTGACCACCGAACAATATTAGGTGACCATTAACACAGTACAACACTACTATGCTGGCAATAAGAAGAGTCCTAAGAATGTGCACAAATGAAAACACACAATGAAATACATAGACAATGAAGCGAAAGGCAGATTTTGAAAGATGACAAAGTTTTTGATATTGTTTATCTCACACACTATGTCGATGCTAGAAGAAAAAGCAAAAGGTGTTACAAATATTAACATGACATAGAAACATAGAAGATGGGAGGCCATTCAGCCCTTCGAGCCTGCTCTGCTATTCATCACAATCATGGCTGATAGTCCAACACAATAGCCTAATGCTGTTTTCTCCCCATAATCTCTGATCCCACTTGCCCCAAGTGCTATATCTAGAAGGCATAGGAGTTAGTGTCAACATAAAAACACTATGCATCTGAAAGATGTGTCCCCTCCATGTGCACTCCATTGTTCAGCCTATGAGAAATTATTTCACAGCATATAACAGGTCACCAGTTGCATGCATTAGCACAATTGCACTGCAGTGCCAATATACAAGTTCATATTGTCTTCTGGATAGTTCTAGGAGATAGATACCAATGATCCAGAGGCAAAGAAACAGAAATCACAGGAGAAACTCAGCACCTGCGTAAAGAAAATAAAGTTAATGTTTTGACTCTTGTGAAGCTTCTTCTCCATTCAGAAGGCATTCTGAAGAAGGATCAGCAGACTCAAAACGTATACTCTCTTTTCACTCCATAGATGCTGCCAGACCTGTTGGGTTTCTCCAGCAATTTCTGTATTTGTTTCAGATTTACAGCAACAGCAGTTCATTATGACTGTCTATGTGGAGTTTGCACATTCTGCCTGTGACTGCATGGGTTTCCTCTGAGTGCTCTGGTTTCCTCCCACAATTAAAGATGTGCAGGATTGGTGAATTAGCCATAGGAAATACAGGGTTTGGGTAGGGTGTAGGTCTGGATGGGATGCTCTTTAGAGGGTCAGTGTGGACTCAATGGGCCAAATGGCCTTTTCCCACACTGTAGGGCTTCTAAGATGATTGTGTGACGCTGTTGAATGACAACAAGCAGCAAGCTGTCAGCTGAGAGCAACCAAGCACATCATGTCCCTCTCCAGCTGTGTAGTCGATCACTAGATCAGGATGAATTGTCAGCCTTTCAAAATGTTACATTGAAGTTTGAATTGTTAATCTTGTTAGCTCGCTTTGTATTATTATCAAATTGACAAAATGTGCCTATTTATGACCATGCATACTTGTTTGGGATAATATATTTCTCTTCAACAAAAGGATGATGTTGTGTTCTGTCTCACAGCTCATACACAGTATAGCTGTAAAGGAAATGCTCATCATATCATCACCATATCATAGCATTTGACCTGAGGGTTTGTAGTTTCAGAATCCATCTTAACTGGGGTCAACAGAAGCATGACGCACTTAGAAAAACATGCTTTAGCCCAGGCACTGAAATGTAATATATGTATATATCAGGAGCTTTAATAAATGTCTGTCAAATCTTTCAGTTAAGTATTGCCCCATAACATATAAATACCCTGCAAAAGACAAAAGCTCACATCATCTTTTCTCAAAATGCAATAACCAAACTATCACGTAATGCTAAGAAGCACAGCCAGCAACCTTCCATTGAAATTTGCTCAAAATGAGTTGCTGTGCCTTCAACGAGAACGAACATTCAAGAAATGTAAAACATGTTGCAGATTCACTATCAACTGTTCTCTACTATTGCCCAATGCATGATCTAACCAACAAGCAGCCACAATATGGACACGAGCAAATATACATTTAACATATACACACTGACAAAAATACAGACATCAGCACAAAAGGAAAGGTACCAACACAAGCACACAAACCAACACCAAATTATTGTGTACAGGCTTTCAATAACATAAATAAATCAAAGCTAAGACACATGCAACTAATTAAATACAACGTAAGTGATATTTGTCTTGAATGGTGGAAGTACAGTTGTTAGTGCTTCGGCATTCTGATTTACATTCTGTATGCTATTTATTGACAAATTTTGAACAAAAGTAAACAAATTATCAATCTGTATTGCCTTTTATAATCTATTGCCCAAAATAATTCTACTCCTGATACATATCCCTGGGACACAAACAGTTTTACCATAGTAAAATCAAATGACATTTAAAGAATTTCCCTTTAATAATTTAATTCAATTTTTATTATATTCTAACTGGACTTACCTTTATTCCTTTTGGAAAGTGCAGCTGCACAAACACTAGTGGAAAATATCAGCAGAATCAGAGTTTTTCTCTGCATTTTCCCAAGGGTTCAATTAGTTTATAAGCTTGAATTGAAGTAACTTCTTGTAGTGATATATTAGACCACTATACAGCTCTGGTAGGTCTTCAAGTCTTTTAGAAGCTCTGTGCAATGACTGCAGCGGCTGTATTAAGCATGACTGACCTTCAAAAACATCTGGTACACATCAGCAGACTAATACGTATGCATGTTGACACTCAGTCAACTAGCTGCTTGCCGTCACTCCCTTCCTCTCACACATTAACACACACTTTCATACAGTACAGCCACACCTACACGGTTACTCTTACACACAATCTAGAATGCACCAAAGGATATACTGAGCAGATTATTGCATTAACTTTTACAGGCAACTTAAAAGAATGTATTATATCGTAAGTGTAAAAAGATCTGCAATCTTTGCATTCCAGCTCCTGTCAATGGTATGTAATGTTTCAGTTCCTAGTAAACCATGCGTACAAGTATTTAGTAAATGTCTTTAGCCTTGCTATTTCTCTTGCTACTTCGAGAATCGCCCTTGTAAATTAACTTCTTCAGCCCTGCAACACTTAGATTTGCTCTAATTTCAGGCTCAAACTTCAATTCTTTTCGCCTTCTCTTTTGCTAAAATTGCCATAGTGGCTGTGTGGCTATCATTAACCCACCTTTCAGACGACGCTATCTTCAAAACTTGTCTAGGAATTCTGTGACTGAACCGGGCAAAATTGCCAAAACCTGCTTTCCTTCTTCAATTGCACAGGAGGTAGAAAATGCCACCTCCAGCAATGCTCCTGGATCACCTTTGGTCAATCTAACCAATTTCAGAGCTCTGTGTATATGGATTAAGTACTGCTTGCATATACTATACAGAATGTTCCAGTGCTTGTTTATCACCTGAACAGTAGATGCTGTGGGATCCAATTTTGAAGTAGATTTTGCTAAGTTAAATGATCACAGCTGATATTACAATTGACCTAGAAATGGAACAATGGCAGGCATGAGTCTTTCATACTTGTGATCCCACTGAGAGTTAGTAGCTTCAAAAAAGAAAGAAAACTTAATGACCTGAGCATGTTCCAGGAACATGCACTTCACAAGAAAGATCTTTCTTTGGAAATCCACACAAATAATAGTCTGTCAGTACTACTGAATTTATGGACTTCAAAAGATTGCAGAGGCAATCCAAACTAATTCTCCTGTATATAAAATTGCACCAAGAACCATGTTGCTGCTGAATCAAAATCCTGTTTAAATGTCTTATTATTTGGTGCTGCAAAAAACCACCGTGCTGGTCAGTACAATTTCCAAACTGTCAAAAGCTCTCTGAAATTCTTCTATCTATTCAAATTTCTTGCATTTCTTTCACAAGCCATTCAATGATGCCACTAGAATGCTAATTTTTTTAAAAAAAACATCTGATAGAATCCAATCATGTCTATATACTGCAAAATCTATTGTTTCCTCAAAGGCAGAAAATCCAAATTGCCCTTATTTTTGCTTCTCTGGGGTCCCAATGGCTTTGCTTCAAGGACTGGCCCAAAGAAGTTATATTTGCTTCAGCAAATTCAATTTTTGCTAAGTTTTTGATCAAATTGGATCTGCGTACTACATCAAACATTTAAGTATTATAAATACTTCTTTCCATGCTTTGATAGACACAACCAAATCATTGAAATACACACAATGGTTGCATAATCCTTCTATAACCTTGTTTATAATTGTTGAAAAGTTACTGGTACTTTTTCGCTACAAATGGCATTGTTAAAGTCCATCTGGGGTTATAAAAGCTGGCATTGGTCAATGTAACTTTAATAAATCAACTTATATAATAAGCCCATGCTTATCCAATCCTCTCATTACAATCCTCCTGCAACTGGACATGAATTTGCCTTTGTTATTTCAATGACCTTATAATCACCTGAAAACAGTCATTGTGATCCATCTGATTTTGACACAATCACAATATGTGAGTTCCAGCAGTTGTGATTCAGTTCAATAATAGCATTTTCCAACATAAATGACCTCTTCTCTCATTTGAGCTAATTTCTCTGGATTTGAGTCTGTAAGAATGTTGCTTTATGGACAAAATGTCTTTACATTAACATGATGTATGACCTATGACATTATCCCTTTACAAAATTCAATTTATGAGTCTGTAATAGTTATCATAAATCACAGATAGCTTTTCTGGATATAGCATAATATTCCATCTAACTTCTCAATTGCCTCTGCATTATCCCACTCAATTACTGGGAGAGGGGTGATGACTTACAAATTATCAATTTCTTATTCATTCTCAAATCACCTAAATATTTCTATTTATCTCCCTGTTCCTGCTATTAATGGATAGTAGTTAATAGATATTGATTACTACTTCTGGTTTTGGGTAAGCGTCCTACAAACTCTATTAAATGGCTCCTCAAAAGCTGATTATTGGAATTAAAGCTGCAAGTTTAATTGATGGTTGGGGCTTCTGCCCTACCTAAGGTGCATGACATGACTAGCATGATTTAACTTCTTTGTGCAAATCTGGCCAATTAGATGTTTTAGTATTCCAGGCTGTGTTTTCTTAATTAATAAGTGAAATACCATTGGAATTCTATGAGCTGCTTGTAATATCTCATTACAGTACTCAGGTGGAAGTACCACATTATTGACTACTGTCCATTCCTCATTGGATGCTATTAACACAGTCTCCAATTCCTCATTTACCCTTTATCTTACAAATATAGTTTGCTTACTTTGATCAGTAAGCTTCACATGAACAGCTGGGAGAAACCATGTGAACACCACCACCTGCGACTTCCCCTCTAAGCCACTCACCTTCTTGACCTAGAAATATATTGCCGTTCCTTCATTGTGGCTGGGTCAAAATGCTACCTTTTCTCCATATCCTTGCATGCCATTACCACCAAATAATCACCAATGCTGCCTTGAATGCCTCAATGAACCTGCTTCCACATTTCCAGGCAGTGCATTCCATTCCATTCCATTCCCTAATAATTCCATTCCCATTCCCTGTGTGTAAGCATTTTTTCTCATATTACCCTTTCTTCATTTGCACATCACTTTAAAATGATGTTTAGATATCATTCCAACTGATTCTTCATTCAAGCCATGGAATACATCAGAACTTGATGAAACCCACAAAGCAGAACTTCCAAAACTTAGAAAATCACACAGCACAATCTTCTTAGCAATTCATCGAATTGTGAAGGATGCTATTTGCTTCATGATATTTGTGATGGCTCTTTAAAGGGTGAATCCAATTAGTTCCACTCCCCTGTTCTTTTCCTGTAATGCCTTTCTTTTCTTTTTCAAATTTATGTAATAACTTTTTGCAAGTCACTATTGAAGCAGTTTCCCCATCAGGTCATTCCTTCCAGATCATAACAACAAGCAGCATAAAAATATTATCCTTATCTCTCCACTGACTCCTTTACCAATTATCCAAAATCCTTGTTTCACGTAATGGAGGCAATAATTGATGAGCTGACTATTTCTACTCTTCAGACCACATGTATTTAAGACTCAATGCTGTACTCTTTCCTGTGGCTAATAGATCCCTGATCAGATGCTCCTCTATCATTCAGTTGATGATACTCCGTCTCTACCACACATGGACTGCAGCAGTTCAAGAAGACTGCTCATCACCTCTTTTTCAAAGGCAGTTTGGATGGCAATAAATTGTGGACTTGAGAGAAGTACTACATTTATGAATTGTTTTTAACCATTCTCTATATCGTGTCCCACATTTATAAACAGAACCCCTTTACAAAAGACTTGCTAATTGCTGAAAGAACCCAAACCTTTCCAAGGATTTCTCCAACATCTTCTATTGTTTGTATCCCATGTCACTGCCACTATTCTAGTCAACCACAAATTAATGACACATACTAACCAGGGTGGTTGTACCACCTGCAATCTGTTCAAACTGTGTATATAATCTATATAATCATAAGTATATAACGATAGACAACTACAGATTAATATTGACAAATTATATCAATTGTGATGAGGTGTATCAATGTTAAAGCAGACACGAATTTTAACTGCTACCAGGGCCTGAAGGTGCACAGGCACCCAACAATATTATCAATGGCCTGCACTCCCATTCTCTGGCTCAATATGTCTCCACCATTTTTAAGGAGGCAGAATGAGACCAGGCATGGTTTACCCACCCAGACCTGGCAAATGGCCAATCAAGTTTGTTTGCTTGCAGCCACTTAATTGAAGGAAGCTAACTGAGAGTTTACATCCTCCCAGTTCATATGGGTGATAGCTATTAGTTAGCTGACTAGAAGCAGTAGCCCTATTGGTAGACCAGGGGACTCTCAATCCTAGGGCTCTCCTTGCTTGCCTGAGTGCAACAGCCTGAGCAGTCCCCAAGAGAGATGACCTGGTTGCAAAAGCCACATTTAGTTTAATTCCTGAAACACTGGAGAGAGGGCACCTCCATTTAAGTACCCTCTTATTTCCTTGGTGTTCATCACTTTATGCTGCTGCTTTCGAGCTGAAAGACCTCTGATTAACCATCACGCCCCTGCCCACCAACACCCCTTAACTGGTAAGCAAGTGTACCTTGTGGGTATTAGTTGGCTGTTCTGGATAAAATCACATTGTGTGACTGTTTGCCACTAATATTGTCTTCTGACCCAGAATGTAACTTGATGGTGTGGGTCAGAAACCCACAGGGAAATGCTAATCTATAGAATATAGAAGAGGAACAGGCCCTTCAGCCCACCATGGCTGCACTGACTATGAATGCCATTCTAAACTAATGCCGTCTGCCTGCACATGGCCCATTTCCCTCTGTTCCCTACTTTCTGTTTCTCTTGCCAATTATTTTAAATCTGTGCTCTCTTCTTGATATTTTCATAAACGGGAACAGTTTCTCGTTATCTACCCTGTTCAGACCCCTCATGATTTTGATGCTTGGGCCTAGGATACAACTGATGAACTCCTGCAGCAAATAGTCAAGGCCTGAGATGACTGACCTCCAATGACCTTGATTCCTTTGTGCAAAGTATGGCTTTAATTAGTGAAGGGCTCTGTTCCTCTGACATATGTTGCCGCTGTATAATTGAAGTATGATGAAAGCATCCTGTGTCATTCCCAAACTACTTTTATTTGATTCAAAAATCTAAGCAG